AAGAAAAAGGTAGGGGGGAGAGTCTGGGTGGCTCAATCAATTGAGTGTCTGACTTTGGCTCAGGTCGTGATCTTACGGTTTGAGGGTTTGAGCCCTGCGTTGGGTTTTGTGCTGACAGCACAGGGTCTGCTTTGGATTCTTGGTCTCCCTCTCTTTCTGACCCTCTCCTGCTCATTTTCTCTCTCTCTCTCTCAAAACTGAATAAACATTAAAAAAGAAAGAAATATATCAAAAACTAATGGCAATTACACATTGTGATAGAGTTATGGATAAATTATTGTCTATCTTTAGATGTTTTTGTAACTCCAAAAACAATATAAAAACCTTGAAAATTATTTATTGGATGGATGACATATACTCTTATTTGTGGATATTTGTTAACTAAAATAATGCATATTTTTCAAATTTATTATTCTTCCCTAGATCTTCAGGAATCACTCAAAATTATGTTTCAGAAATATAGTGGGCAAGCACTCATCATATAATATCCTAAAAGGGGGAGAACCCTATTAACAATATTAGTCTTGATAATGCTGATCTTAAATTAAAAAAAAATACATGGTTGCATTTTAAGAATAATACCCACAATATAATATTTAATATTGGCTATTTCTGCTCTTATGGGGATTTGTGTTATTTTTATAGGTTGTGTGTGTGTGTGTGTGTGTGTGTGTGTGTGTGTGTTAACATTTATTTGATTTTGAGAGACAGAGAGAGACAGCAGGAGCAGGGGAGGGGTGGAGAGAGAGGGAGACACAGAAGCCAAAGCAGGCTCCAGACTCCGAGCTGTCAGCACAGAGCCCGATGCGGAGCTTGAACCCACGAACCATGAGATCGTGACCTGAGCCGAAGTCAGACGCTTAACCGACTGAACCACCTAAGCACCCCAATTTTTATCTGTATTTTTAAACAAACCTTGAAATTTCTTTATGACAAAATTTCTGAAAACAATTTTGATATTTATTTCTTAGGAGAACCTTGAGAAATTTTAGAAAAAATGTTTTATAACTCCAAAGTATTATCTTGTTTTCAGAAAATTATCATATATATTTTATAAATATGTATATTCTTATTAAAATTTGAACCCGTGATTCTAATTTACTACTGAAATTTTAATATTTAGCTTCTCATCAGAACAATAACTATACCCATAGGATTTTTCATTGTATTTTCCCTTAAATAATATTCTTTTAATTTGTCCATGCTTCATTGAAAAATATTTTAGTCTTCCTTTGGAAACAAAAAATTAATACCCAATAATAATAATTCCCAGCTCAAAGTCTCCTCACTGATGTATTATCCAATAGTCTAAAAGTTTTTATTCTGTTGTGTTCATGACTTATTTTACCAAAGACTTACGTATATAATTTCAGGCAAATATTAGTTGAACAAAGTCACCTTTCCTGCATTCAACTCATACCACACTAAAGTCCTTTATCTTCTAGAGAAATAAAGTCTGTACAAATGTCTGCATATAAATTTAAAAATTCAGCAAAATATCTGGAATTTTTAAGCAATACTGATGCCAAACTTTTGTCTACATTTACCTATAATCCTACCTTTAATTTCAGCATATTTGATAACAATTTGCCTAATTGCAAGGCTTATTTCAAATAAGTCTAAAGGTTGATCATTTTTATTCTTATTCTGGCCTTCAATTTTATAGAAGTAGAGAATATCACCGTTGTTAGAAGACTGATCTCCTAACAACATTTATTCTTCACTTTCAGTGTTTGCAGAAAAAGCCTTTAATAGTCTGAAGGTCTATTTTTTGCCATGTAAGATCTGAATATCCTCATTGAGGTCATCCTGTAACTACTCCCTGAACAGCCCACACCTTCATCCCACAAAAAGTTTGCCTGAGGGGGCATCTGGGTGGCTGTCAGATTTCAGCTCAGCTGGGTGACTCTTGATTTCAGCTCAGTTCATGATCTCACAGTCCCAAGATAGCAGTCTGCAGCAGGCTCCTTGCTGGGTGTGAAGCCTGCTTGAGATTCTCTCTCTCTCTCTCTCTCTCTCTCTCTCTCTCTCTCTTTCTCCCTTTGCCCCTCCCACCCCACACTCTCCACTCTATCAAAAAAAAAAAAGTTTGCCTGAGAAAGGAGGCTTATCTGCTCCATCACATCAGAGAGGAACACAGGAAGGGTCAAAGAATGCACTCAATGGGTGACTTGTTTGCTTATTGTTTTATTTGTGTAAGATTTTATATGAGGAATTCAGGAGGTTTGGGTATTTGAGACTTGAAAAAAGTGCTGATTTCATTTAGAAGATAAAGTTAATGAAGAAGGTCTAGAATTTTAATGCTTTGATATACTAACAAAACTACACAATTTTTACTCACTTCATTTTCTACGGATTTGGGCTTTATGAAGAGCTATTCCATTCAAAAATCTTTTTTTCCCCTGGAAGATTGTCCGTGTAGGTATTTCTAGGTCCTAAAGGATCAGATTGGCAGAAGGGAGATGCTATCCCAAGCTGCTATGTTCAAACTACAGTGCTTAAAGTATATTTCAAGATGTGTTTATAACCACCTTGACATTTGTGAGGGTCAGACTCAGGAATAGTTACTAAATCAGTGTTAAATGTTTTGTCTCTTTTATTACCAATTAATCGGGTGATCTTTATAAAACATCGAAACTAAGGTCATCCACAAATCGTCTTTCCTTTTTTTCTTCTAAAATAATTGAGAAAAAGGTTTTATAGTATGTACTTTGAGAATCCTTTTAAGAACATGAGTTAAATTTGTCTATTTTTCTAAAAGATAATTTGTTTTTTCTTAATTTTTAATGTTTATTTATTTTTGAGAGAGAGAGAGAGTGTGTGAATGGGGAAGGGGCAGAAAGAGAGAGGAAAACACAGAATCCGAAGCAGGCTCCAGGCTCTGAGCTGTCAGCACAGAACCTGATGCGGGGCTCGAACTCACAAACTGTGAGATCATGACCTGAGTCGAAGTCGGATGCTTAAACAACTGAGCCACCCAGGTGCCCCTCTAAAAGATAATTTGAAGGAAAGACGCTTATATTTGATCATGTATACATAGTTTTTACAGGAAAAGGGATAATAGCTTATATGTCTAAAGAGCTCTTATAATAAATAAGAGATTAACATGTCAATGGAAATAGGCAAGGGATTTAAAAAAATGGGAATTTACACAGAGCTAAAACCAGCCAAAATTCACTTTATCTTTTTTTAATTTTTATTTATTTGAGAGACAGAAAGGTGGTGGGGGGGGGGGGGGAGGGGAGCAGAGGGTGAGAGAGAGACACACAGAGCATCTTAAGCAGGCTATATGCTCAGTGTGGAGCCCAATGTGAGACTCCATCCCATGACTCTAGGATCATGACCTGAGCCGAAATCAAGAGCCCTACTCTCAACTGACTGAGCCACTGAGGGACCCCAAAACTCATTTTAAAAAGACCTATCTAATGCACATTAAAATATAAAGGTGGTAATATTTGTCTGGCAATTAGTATTAGATTTAATAAATATTTATTGACCAAATAAATGAAGTAACGGTTTTCACCAGATAGGAAAAAACTTTTAAATAATATGAATTCTCACAATTGACAGGATATCCAGACAAAAGATAATCGTATCAGGTAACTCTCAATTCAAACTAGTGATATTAAACATCTAGACTCTAGATTTTATTTAAGCTTATAGCTTTTGGATAAAATTAAGAGAAATACATTTTAGAACAGAATATAGCCATTCTCAAACAAATTTCACTTTATTTTTTTTTAACGTTTTTTATTTATTTTTGGGACAGAGAGAGACAGAGCATGAACGGGGGAGGGGCAGAGAGAGAGGGAGACACAGAATCAGAAGCAGGCTCCAGGCTCTGAGCCATCAGCCCAGAGCCTGACGCGGGGCTGGAACTCACGGACTGCGAGATCGTGACCTGAGCTGAAGTCGGACGCTTAACCGACTGAGCCACCCAGGCGCCCCACAAATTTCACTTTAAAAAATAGTTGACCATAATGTTAATGTAAATGATAAGCCAGTGTTGACTTAATCTATAAAAGAAAAATTAGTTTAAACTATATCATTTAAACAGTTTTTAGAATATAAGAAATTCTATATTAAGGTATTTATAAACAGATATTAATTCCAAATATTACTATCCCTCATGAGACAATTTTACCCAGTATATGGTCAGATGGAAATAGAAAAGAGCAAAAAAGCATATATTCTGAATAAGGTCACTAAACAGAAAGTGGGGTTTCTTCTTCCCCATCAGCCTTAATTCCAAAGAACAGTAGAAAACTCTGAGGGGAAAACAAGTGCCAATCTATCGTTGTCATATTATTTACACTTCTTAATGTTTGGGGTTCTCCTATAAAATTAATTATTTTCTTCATCTGCAGTTTATCTGTGGTGCCCAGAAACCACTGACTTCCTGGAATTTTTATTAAGAATTCCACATTCTTGCCATGTTTTTCAGATACTGTGGTCTCTGCCAATAAATTCTAATAAATTTTCACTTCTTTTCTTTCAATAACATCTTAGAGAATATGATTCAGACTCAAATTAATCACCGATCACGTTAATGGTTCCTAGGAGTTTACTTCTGATACCCCTTATTATATTAAATCAGACTTGATAGTGTGCTAGATCATTGCTCTGCTGGGTTTTCATAAAAGTACTGGTATTTAATATGATTTATACCTGGTTTTCTGTTAATATCTTTGCTTATTATATGCTTTATTTTTAAAATAGACATTCTCAGCAAATGGCATCCTCTTAAAATATATCATTCTTTTAAAATGTTTTACAGGAAGCATTTTGCAGTAAAATGTGTTACTTATTTTATATTATAGTCACATAATAGTGAATAGGAATAGTTTATTTAATTTATAATCAAAAAATTAATATTTAACTGATATTTTGGAAAAAGTATGCATACATATATGTGTTTTGCTTATATAAAAGATCAATTATATGCCAAGATTATCAGGAAATTTAAAGGTTTTTTTTTTTTTTTTTTTTTTTATTTTAAGCTTTGTAGCAAAGGGGCAGCTCTGGGAAAACCATTTGAAGCATCTGCTGAAGATATAGCAAGTGTGGCAAGTTTCATTGAGACAAAGCTTGTTACATGCTATCTACGCATGAGGAAACCCGACCTTGCCCTGAATCATGCACACAGGTAAAATGAAGTATTAATGGCTACAAGTAAACGCTGTTCATGCAAGCAAAGGGCACTATGTGAGCTTGTATTATCAACTTCCATTTCATTTAAATTTAAAGACAAAACAAAAAACATTTCTTTAGTACTTGATTTATTTTAAACTAGATAATGATAAAGAGGACAAAGGGCATCTTAAACCCTAATGGAAGAAATAAACACACAACTACACATAATGCAGGGCAAAATAAAAAGGCAGATATCTGGAGTAGCAAATTACTACAGGAAGAGAGGAAGGAGTGAATAAGGTAAGTGAGGGATCAGAAGGATGAGAAGGATTTCCAAAAATGCACAAGATATGGAAAATGGTGGAAGGAAATTCAGACTAAACCATAAGCAAAGAGTTGACAGTACATGGTTTATTTGATGATAGGATGTCTGATTCAAAGGATGCTTTGCAAGGGTAGGTGTGACAGCTGCCAAAAGGTGTGAAACACTTTTTATCATTGTCCTTAAAGATTTCTTTTTATAGTTCTATCCTTCTTCAGAACTCTGGATCATTATGTTATCTTGTGGCTTCCCAGAATCCCCCAGGCCTCTTTTTCTTCTGTAAACATGTACCTCTCATATGTCCTGTTTCCTAAATGCCTTACTCTTACCATGGGTAATAGTTTAATATACAGCAAAGCTAAAGTGATTATGTTATGCTTTTCAAATAGCTGTTTGCTTAGAATTATGATGCCTCCTCCCTTCCTTGCCTAACTTTGAGCAATTTACCTAGAACTTCTTGTCTTATTCATTCTCTGGTCTCACACATTCTGCACTTCTTCTGGATACAAATAACAAATCACTATCAACATGAGAAGATAATGCCTGTCTTGTTAATAACCACTAGGAAACCTAACTATCAGTTATATTAAGACCCATCTTGTAAGTGGGAGATCTGCCAGCATAGGAAACATTATTTATGGCTCCACATCCATGAGGATTTAAAAGATCTCCCCAAGATTCCTCACAGTCATAAGGAAATCTCAAATCTGTAAGCTTACCCTTGCCATCAAAGACCTGCAGACAACAAAATCACTTTAAAATCCACAAGATAACCTGCTTGAAAGAAATTTCCCTGCTTAAGTCAACTACAGAACCTCAAGGCAGAGTCTCTTTGACACCAAAAGAAAATTCAACCCAATACTTTCTGGAAGCATTTTATGTATCCATAGTTTCCAAACCCAATATTGGGACATGCAGTCTGTCAAATAATTTTATTCCATTTCCATTTGAAAGGATCAATATTGGAAATGTAACATATATTTCAGTATGTCAAAATATTGGAATTCCTGGGCTACTTGGGTGACTTGTAATTACAAGAGGAAAAATATTTGAAATTGGAACTGACCCGGAAAATCTATAGGCATATGTAAACAATAATAAATGAAGATGCACAGAAAGTAACTATTTATCACCTTCTCCATGGTTTTCACCACACATAAAGAGGGCCACCAGCATGGCCAACATTTTAAGAAAAATATCTCCTGGATATCAGAATGGGTTTGATGGATTTTTTTTTTAATTTTTTTTTTCAACGTTTATTTATTTTTGGGACAGAGACAGAGCATGAACGGGGGAGGGGCAGAGAGAGAGAGGGAGACACAGAATCAGAAACAGGCTCCAGGCTCTGAGCCATCAGCCATCAGCCCAGAGCCTGACGCGGGGCTCAAACTCCCGGACCGCGAGATCGTGACCTGGCTGAAGTCGGACGCTCAACCGACTGCGCCACCCAGGCGCCCCGATGGATTTTTAAATCATTTTTTGAAGTTTATTTATTTTTGAGGGAGAGTGACAGAGACAGAGACAGATACAGAGTGTGAGCAGGGGAGGGGCAGAGACATAGGGAGACACAGAATCTGAAGCAGGCTCCAGCCTTGAGCTGTCAGCACGGAGCACAATGCAGGGCTCGAACCCATGAACTGCAAGATCATGACCTGAGCCAAAGTCAGAGAAGCTTAACTGACTGAGCCACCCAGGTGCCCCTAAATCATTTTTAATAATAAAAGAGTTCCAAATGGCATGATCACATAAAAAATCAACTCAGTGTTATAAAAATAAGTGATGAACATAAATGTAAAATTGCACTGTAATCCAAATATAAGAAACAATAAAATGCTACAGGTCCTAACAATGCAAAGATAAACTTCAATAATTTCACTGTTGAGATTTAGCAATTTTTGTTTTAAAACTAAGAGAACTCTTTGAAGACTTAAAAATTGCTGAGGATATTTAATGGTGAATAGTAAAATGATCTTACCAATTACACTCAGATTAACTTTTATCTTTTTTTTCTATAGTATAAGAACTTTTGCTTCTGTTTCTAAGTTGAACATTAAATAAGAAATGCAAATCAATAAAGGTTAAACAGTCAATTCATACAATTAATAATGCACTGAGTGAAACAAATCATTTTACTGGGCTTGTCATACTGCAGAACTGCAGAAGCCAGTGCATATGATTCTAATATTAAAGTGTTTTTAAAGATCTCAGATCTTAAAACACAGACTGATATATAATCAATAAATATATTTCTCAAAATAAATTAATTAATCAGAATTCTCAATCTAGAAATAGCTTACAATCATTAATTATACAATGAATGCAGAACTTTGCTTTTGTATTATTACCATATTGTGATGGTTGATACTAATCATGAATCAAAATTAAAATATTCCTTTTTTGCATTTATTTGCATTTGCTAAAGCATTCTTTCTTTAATTTTATGTAAATGTGAGGTCTACTGCATATCTTTAGGAGATTTGTTAGCACAAAAATTAGCTTAAAAACCATCATGTAGTTTTGCTTCTGATAAAACTAAATGCATATTGTTTTGTCATGTGGAAGACTACAGGAACCATAACTTTATGGTTTTAAGTTCAACAAAGATACATTTTGAAATTAATCAGATGTGTATTGATATTTAAAATATGAAACTAAGTGATATAAAGGCTCTAGAAACAATTATTAATATTTTTTTCCTAATAACACGTCCAAAGTGGCAGATATGTATACCATGGTATTTTTATTTCAACCAAAAGTGATGCCTAGATTCACGAAACATATCAATTCTGTGCTTACCTCATCAGATTAGTGCCATTGTTTATCAGGAAGTGTTTTGAATATTCCTAAGATTGATTTCTGCTCTCAACAAGAGTAGAAATTGTGCTATAACTCTTTTTCTATCCTATAATTACATTTTGATGTATATAATTGTAAAGATTTTAATGATGCATGCCACTTTTTTGCGTGTTTCTCACCTGTAGATTCTTGTTTGTTTTCATTGCAGAATTTTGATGCCACAAGGTAGCAAGCAAGATGAAATCTAAAATACCAAATATGTACAAAAGATCTGATTTTCAATTTTTTTTATAATGGTGGCATCTACATTCATTCATTCATTCATTCAACAAATATTTATTGAATGCCTACTAATACCCTGTGCTATGCAAGTGGGGAAGCAGTTGTAACAGGAAATGTATGGTATTTATACACATTAGAAGAAATGTCAAAGTGTGAAAAACAAATGAATATTAATAAATACATGAGAAAAAATGTGATAAATGCTATGAAGGAAATATAATTTCATGTTACAGAGGCAGTATGGTATATTGAATCGGAGAAGAGTCTGGAATATGACTGCCTAGGTTCAAATTCTGACTCCCCCACTCATTAGTTAGCCTGAGTTTAATTCTCTATGAAGTTAGATTATAATAATAGTACCTACTTCACAAATATTATTTCACAAAGTTTTGTGAAAATAAAGTTTTGTGAAAATTAAATATAAATCCATGAATTTTTTTTATTCCATCCATGACAGAGTTACTGGTAATGGACCTATTTTTCCACTGTAAACAACTATAAAACTGGACAAAATATATTAGGCAACTGTTTTCAGGTAATGGACAATGGTCACAGCAGGACTATGATCCTTGAGAGAAGGGAAATACACATGGTGAGCCCCACAATTTTCTCAGTTTTTTGTGAGGGTTATTTTCCTGCCCTAATTCGGAGAGATGGATAACAATTGTTGTCTCACTGAGCTGAGGAGGCAGAGATGAGAATACTAGACTGAAAAAGGAAAAGCTATAATTTATAGGGTAAGTGGCCTAAGAAGAGGGAGCTGTGTGAGGAGATGGGGTAGAAGTCTGCATGAGGATTTATTATAGGTTCTTAGCCAATGTGAGGAGTGAGGCTCCATGTAGCAGAGATTCCCTGCTGCAAGACTAAGTGCTAAATAGAAATATGAGAGGACCTGCAGTGATGGGATATGGTGGAGTGTCCAAATGAAAAGACCTCAATGAGTACCTCAGTCATTCAGTTGAGACCCCAGAAAGGCCATGTTTAAGAGTAAGGATCGTGGCCTCTAGAAAGGACCACACATTAGGATTAAGCTTAAAACCAAAATAGACCTGCCCTAACAAAGACTAAAGCTAAGCATGACAAGAAAAAATGTATACACCATTTAATTACTTGATAGGGGAAAAAAGAAATCAACAAATTTGCAGGGATGATGCATAATCTGATTCCTTACACAGTTTCATCCAGAATGTCCAGCATAAAATTAAAAATTAATACACATGCAAAGAAGTAGTTAAATAAGACTCATACTTAAGAAAAGAAAAAGTCATAGAAACAGACCCTGAGCTGCCCCAAATGTTGGAATTGGTAGAGAAAGACTTTAAAGAGCTGTGAAATATAGGTCCAAGGCCCTTGAGATACAATGGTAATAATAACTGGAGAGATGAGAATCTCCACAGAAAAATAAAAACTAAGAAAATAACTAAATTGAGATTTTAACACAGATTAATAAAATATCTGAAATTTTGAAATGTACCAATTGAACTTTGGAGACTGCTAAAGATTGAAGACAAATTATAGAAATTACCCAATATGAAGAATGGAGAGAAAAGAGATTTTAAAAAATTAACCAATACTTCAGTGACCTGTCCTCAGGTACAATAGCAGGAAATCTA